ATGTTTACAAGTTAGCACATGATTTTCTCCCCTTCTTCAACACTCTATTCTCGATTTCACCCTCTTATATCATTCAGCATTAGGTTTTACTCAATCTCTATTTCCATCTGGAAAAGTATCATATTAAGAGGGAACTAGAATTTAAAAGCTTTAAACTGCACCAAGAAATAAATTATATATAGTGTGATTGAAATCATAGCCATGCATATGGCCAATATTATCACTTAATGTATACTTATTGCAACATGGCAATACTGGACTGATGCAAGTTAGAATTAAAGACTGCACACTTATCTTTAGCATATTACTGATGGCACTCAAGGCTCTAGCCTAAGCAAACAGGTGGATGATGAGTTACCACAAGCGACTTTAAAATTTTAACTTAACTCTTAACCACTTAATCAATTAACATGTTGAAAATTGTTGGACTAAATAAATCCAACTATGCATGGTTATGCAAAAGACAGAATTTGAATACCAGTCAAACAATCAATCCAACTAAGTTACACTAGCACAAGGTTGTAACTATGTAGTTCCATGTGCAAATGCTTCTCGTTTTTCCTATTCAGTATCCCATTTCAAATGATGAACTAATATTCTTCTGAAAATGTTTAAGCAGCTCCATTGCTGACCGGTGTATCGAACATTTTTGGATGGGGAACTTAATCCAAATTGGGAATAGATAGATGAGATATCCCAAAATTAAAAAACACAGCATGAAATTTCCACAAACTAGCAAAACAATGAATTGAGTTATTCAGAAACCACCAACAAACCATCAATCAAATAGTCACCACCCTAATCGTATGATGTGTGATACACACTGTCATATGATATATCCTTTCAGAGGTCACGCTGCCAGTGGAACTTAAAAAGGAATGGATGTCCTCCAACGATAAACTATTAGGGGTGGCAGTTCAGTTATGCTAGTCAAATGAAACTTATTATGTTTAATTAATCATGTAAAATCACTTGACACTAACCCAATCTGTATATTAATTGTGTCATGTTTGTGTTAATACACATATCTATTGAACTAGAAACTCAAAATATAACCTCTAATTTTAAACCAAACTCATCACTTGTACACAGCCATAAATAAAAACCTACTCAATCTAGATGCTAACAAAGGAAGGACAAAAGAAGTATAACTGTATAATTCTACAATTATTTCAAAAATACAAGATAATGAAGTGAAGAAAAGGGTGAAATGCATTTTCTACATAAGACTAGTTAAACACAGTGATCGCGTCAAAATCAGGCTATTCATACTTAGCTGGCATCATTATTGTCTTCGTATTGAGCAATAGTCAATCCTAACCCACTGATTTCGTGTTGGATTCACATCGTGTTGTGCTCAAACACTATTTTCAATTTCTAAAAGAATTTAATTTTATTCCAATACTGCATTTCCGTGGCCTAATGTTCTTGACTTTCCAATTAAAGAGGCCAATGCTCAAAAACCAGTCCAAGTATTTTATCATAAGGTAGTTCTTTGAAAAATCATGTGCACTACAACAAACAGAAAACCACCATAGCAAACTAATCAATTACCGGAAAAAGAATGTTACCTCAGCAATGGGCTCCTTCAAAGCGTTGCGGGTAACCCGAAACCTTATCCCCAACTTCTCAAGCTGCCTCGACAAAACCCGAATGATTGTGGCCGAGCTCCTCAAATCTTCCTCCAGCTTCTCAATTCTCTCAAACAAATTCACCTCCAGCCCACCCTTCACTGACTCCCTACATATCCGCCTCCACTGCCGCATCCGAATCCACGCCCCAATTCCGACCGCCATTACCAAAGCCACAGCCCCAGACGCCAAAACGCTGTTCCCCATTGCCACTAAAGCCGTCTTCTTTAAGCTCAAAACCGCGCAATTCAATGCAAAACCAACCGAAACGAGTGCCGACGACGCAAGGCACAACAACTCGGCAACCGAAAGAAAATAGTCCAAATTGAAAGCACCGTTGACGACGTCGTTTGACCGTAGAGTGCCATCGGATTCGTATACTCTGAGACGAGAGTGATGGGAGCTGAGGGAGGTTGAATTGTGAGGGTTTGGAAGGCTGTGGTTTGAGATTGGGAAATGTGGGCGAGAGGTGATTGGGAGAGAGAGAAGGGCGGGGGTTTTGGGAAGAGAGGTGGTGATGTAAAGGGTGAAACGAGGAGGTGAATTTATGAATAGCTGATGACAAGTGAATGACATTGTTTGAAGGATGAAGCGTGTGTGGGTCTCTGTGTGTGGTTGGGTTCAGTTAGGGTTTTGGTTTTGGTCCATTTGATGGTTTCAGAGAAGAGGAGAGAAGAGAGAGATGGGGACAAAGGATTGGCGATGGATTCGATAATTGGCGCGCGGGGAGTGTGTGATTAGCAAACACGAATGAAGCAACACGAAAATGGTTTTGGAGTCTTCGCTTATTTTCAATTTGTAACAAAATATCGGCAAGAAGTTGTAGTCTGTCGGTTTTACTATTTTGATCGTCGTAGTTTTAATTTTATTAATTTTACTTTTTTTAGTTTTAAATTCGAGTAATTCAACAATACCTTGACAAATCAAATTCCTTCCAATTCGGTTACAAATTCTGTCAAATTTCGTGCTCAAAGTATAATAGGAATCAAATTGTAACGTATCCTTGAATTACTCGATTTTTAAAACTATATTGATAAAATTGACAAAATTATAAGGATTAAATTTGACAAAATTAATACTACAATGATCAAAGTGGTATAACCAACTACAGGAACTAAAATTGCATATCAATTTAATGTAACATTACAGTTGGTTTGCTTGAGTCCTCAAATTAGTATAATAACATAATCGAACCTCTCTTTTTTTTTCTTTT